ACATGGATTACTGACCTACAGAAGCTGTGAAATAACATATGGATATCAAGCCACTAAATTGATGTAACTTGTTATACAGCTATAGGTAACTGATACACTTGCCCTGCTGATCTAATTAGGCCAATAGGAGATGCCATGGATCTTCGGAGAGTAGAAGAAAGGAAAAGATGAGGTATTTCTTCTTACTGCCAAGCTCTCCATTTCTGACAATGCCTTTCCATCAGTTGGAACATTTTTAGGGCTCTCGTAACTTCCCCTCCTGTGTCCCTGCAGACCTAAAGGTGGGAAAGCCTGAGTTGGCTTCTCAGTGGTGGGCCAGGGTACTTCACTGCCTCTTAGACTGCCCATACCTTCTACAATGTTCCTTTGTTAAGCTCCTTTCAAATGCACCTTTAGAATGAACCATTGCTATCCTGCTAGGCCCCTGCCTGAAGAATAGACTTACTAACTAGCATTGCCTTATCCCTACTCCAATCCACCTCCAAATATAAACTATCTGTTCATGCTCCTGAAAACACTATCTGCATTTTCCCACCTGATGTCTTGGCTTCAGGCTGCTCCCACTGTATGGACTCAGGATACCATTTATGTAATGGTGGTGGGGGAAGCCAAAAAACATGAGTTGATAGACTATTGCCTGTGCTGTTTGCCATCTATGTGACCTTGGGAAAGTGGCTTAACCTCTCTAAGCAGTTTCTCTGTCTGTAATAATACCTAAAGATCTTTGTAAGGAATCTATGAAATAAATGGAAAACACCTCATACCTAAAACTCAGCACTTAGTGGTACTGATGAAAATTTTACTGCCTGCTGCTAATGCTGGTTTTGTTCATAAAGATGAACAAAATGAATGAAGTTCTATTCACCTGAATATTTCTTCAGAATGCTATCTTTACTAAGTATGTATTGAGTTCATGTTTCATATGCAAGATTCCTCTTCATTAAACCCACAGCAATTATTTCTCACTTTTCTTAATGTTCTGATCTCCTATGCCTTATGTTTCATATTTATTAACCTCCGAAAATGTCACATCCTTCCACTGACAAAGATTATGTACCTTTTTATTCACTGGGTTCTAAGTGACATAGTCTCATAGGCTTTATAGCAGCTTGATAAGAATTTGTAGAGTGGATATGTGTGTTAAACAGTTTTTCATTGCTGTGACAAATACCCGAGAGAGGCAATTTCAAAGGAGGATAGATTTTTATTGGCTAATGGTTGGCTGGTTCCATACTTTGGACCTGAGGCAAGGCAGATCATCATGGCTTTGGGGATGTGTGAAGAGGAAGCTGTTCACCTCATCGTGTTCAGGAAGCAAAAGGAGTAACAAGAAGGGACCAGGGCAAAAGACAGTGGTGACCTACTTCCTCCAACCATGCCCTAACTCCTCACACCTCTCCATAATGCATCAGACACCGAATCCACCAATAGATTAATTCACTGATGAAGTCAGAGCCCTTATGATCCAATCACTTCCCAAAGCCCCTCTTCTGAACACTGTACGCACACATGACACACTTTATATCCAACAATCTGTACAGATAAATACTGTGGTTGACTATTCACAATCTAGTTAACACAAGATGAAAACATTTTAGTATCATTGGCCAGATATGTAACTATATTACTGTATAGTGGTGATTAAATATATTTGATGGATATCTAAAACAATGTAACTTGGCCAATTGGGTGCCATTTTGCATATAAATCACTCCACTCCACCCATCCTTTCTACTGTGTCTAATCAAACACTAAATAGGCAAACATTTGAGAGACTAAGTGCTGCTCTTTGCTGTGTCTCTTGTTTCCTAGGACAGACTCTCATTCAGGCAAAGCAAGCAGGACTGGGGTTGGGTGTCACCCTAGTAAGAAATGATACGCATGCTAACAGCCAAGAGGTTTCTCAGGGGAGTTGCCACAGGTTTCAGTGGAATGACAATTACAAGGTAGATGGATCATGTCATGCCTGCTGTGACCTTTACAATACATGGGGATCATTATTTTAATGTTAATTTGCATAATGATTGGCCTAGCAGAACAATGCTGAATGCTAATAGCTGCAGGAGGCAATAAAATTAAACATTATCTGGGCTGAACTGCTAAAGGAAAAGTTGCCAAAGTATGACTCTTTAAGCACTTAATTTCATCCCAGGTCATGTCCACACACAATCAAATAAGGATTTCCGGTATCTCTTGAAGAACTAGCGAGAATTGATTGAAATGAAATAGCAGCACCCTCCTTTATATAGAATCATTGCCTGGTATTTTTTGCATTTTTACATAACTTGGCCTGTCCTCTCTGAGGTATTTGAATTTGCAACTATCGCTACCCCTTGCCCAAATGCTCCTCACCCCTACCCTACCCATTCGCTGGCAGACACATAAAACCCAGAAAGTTGATATTTTCGGAACAGGCATTATCCCTTCAATGTACTAAATGACTTCACATTCTTTCTTACGAGTGGAAGGTGGTCATTAACAAACAGAAAAAGGGAGGTAACTTGTCTGTATTTGGGTTTATCATTTTCTACAATATCTATTGCCTGGAAAAGTTATGTTATCCTGTACTTTGAGCCCCAAGTCAATCTTTGAAGACTAATTAATTTATAGACTTCTTCCTCCCAGGCGTTTGAACTCATTTTGACCACAAGAGGGCAGCCATCTCTAAAAAACAACCAGAGAGCCTTCCTCCTGAGAGAGAAATGGGGCCAAACTTCAGGAAAGTTCTGCTTTGAGAAAGGCATATCCTACTTAAAGGAGATCTTGCCATAAGCAACACTGAAATGAGATAAGTATCCAGAAGTGCCTATTTTCCCTCTGCTTCTTGACTATCAAAGATTATGTCATAAACTGCCAAGGTTCCTTTTTCTCTAGTTCCCAAGGCCTAAAGCTGCAAGCCATCCTTGATGTCATCACCAGAGATTTATTTTTCATCTTTTCTTGGGGTGCGTCCAATGGCGATCATCTTTCTCTTCCTTTGTAAACACAACACACTCCTGTAAGTTTTGTTTTGTTTTTTAAATATCACTGATGACAGGAGCAATTGTTAACTTCTCAATTAAACTTGATAGGGAAGGAAATAGTTTCAGAAGCACAATAAACACTTTTTGATTTAAGTGTCTATGAGTAGACTATGTTTTATTGCCTACTTGCTTGGTATCCAATGATTCAGAGTGACAATCCACTTCCATAGCACTATTTTTAAGGAGAAAAAGTACCATATTCCTGAATATTTTGCTTCCTCTTTCATTTTCCTAGTAGGCAGGCTTCCTCCAAAATACCTTATTTGACCTTTATACCTCTAGAAACAGCAAGTGCCTAATTCCCCTCTGTGGGTTGCTAATCCGATTTACGTGAGCAGAACCTAAAATTTAGTTCCTCAACCAAAAAAAAAAAAAAAGAAGAAGAAAAAAGAAAAAAAGTACACATGAATAATTGATTATTACTAGCTCCTGCTTCTGCCTCTGCTTTGCAAGTCTGAAAGATCAGATCCAGATTTTACCAATCTACCCTTTTGCAAAATATTTCTTCTCTTGGCATTGGGGGTCATCTGGGTAACCCTGTGGTGCTATACATGAAGGCTCCAATCCTGGCAGAGAAAGAAAAAATTCCCTAAGACTTATAGGGCAGCAGTTCTGGGGACTATCTCAGTAAGGAAGACAAGCAATTTGGCCACATGTCATAGCCTTGTTTCTGGGGATCCGCTTGGAATTGGGTAGGGCAAAAGGTTCTGAAGTCCTAAACCGGAATTGTCTGGTATGCTTGGCCCACCTTCCTAGGAGCTACTAATCGCCTGCCTTTGAGCTGGGTGAGATAAATATCACAAGGCAAGAAGTGATTGATACTATAAAAAGAAATAAAATCCATCCCACTCTGCCACACACAGAGTCCACGTTATACATGTCATGTAGCACAGGAGACACCCATGTCACATACACTGACGTATTTATAGGAACGTGTGCCTCTCTTTCGCATATATTGCGTAAATGAATACACCTATAGAAATATACGGCACAGTTTTGTATACAGATATATTTGACTATAAACGCACGCATATCTTCATAAAAATGTAAATGTGCACACATGAATTTGCATATATAACTACACATATCTCTGTGCGTTTCTATTTAAATAACATCCACTTTGCAGCCTTTAGTTTTCTTTCAATTCTCCTGCCCCCACCAAAAACACTTAAGTGTCTACTCCACGTCTGTGCCAAGATGCCTGGTAACTTTTTTTTTTTTAATCATCTATGATCCGAACACTTCAAACTGAAAGTTGAATAACGGGCCGGTGGGGAGACCGAGGCCCGACCCTGGCTTTGCCCTGGATTTCGCTGGGAGTCTCAGCTAGGGTCCCGCGCGGGGCGGACCTTCCTTTGCAGGGGTGGAGGTGCGAGCGCCCCCTCGGAGGCCGCGCGCCCCCGCCCTGGCCCCACCCCGCCGCGGCCTCCGGGCGCGCTGTCCACACCCCTGCGCGCCGCTCCCGCCCGCTCGGGGATCCCCGGCGAGCTGCGCCGCCGAGGGGGAGGTGTTCGGCCGCGGCCGGGAGGGAGCCGGCAGGCGGCGTCCCCTTTAAAAGCCGCGAGCGCCGCGCCACGGCGCCGCCGCCGCCGCCGCCGCCGGAGTCCTCGCCCCGCCGCGCCGCGCTGCCCTGCGCCCGGCTCGCGCTGCGCCCGCCGCTGCGTTTCCCACATCCCGCCGGGGATTGGCAGCCGCCGCGGGACATCCGCCACCACTGCCCCCGCCGGCGACCCGCACGCCCTCGGGGCCAGCAACGCGCGGGTTACCCGTGACTGCGAGGCACCCGCACGCCGTAGACCCCGTGCGGGTTGGAATCCCCGGCAGTGCGCGCCGGAGCGCTGTGGCCTCGGCGGCCCGGGCCGCGCCGAGCGCTGGGGAGTCCGGAGCTGAGCCCGTGCGCCGCGATGCCGAGCCCCTCCTGCCGGGGAGCAGGCGCCGGGGACGTGCCGGCAGAGGTGTGATCGGACCCTAGGCTGGCCACAAAGACACTTGGCCCGAGTGCTAGGAGAGCGAGGCCACCCGCCTCAGCGGCCCGGGACTCTCCTGGACTCACTAGAGAATGCGCTCAAGGACGGCGGGGCTACGGAGCTGTGCGGTTTCAACTGGCGAGCACTGATGGGGGTGCGCTGGAGTAAGGCAGAGTGATGCGGGGGGGCAGCTCGCCTGGCACCCAGATCGTCGTTGTGCCCTTCCCCGGACCCGGCGTCGCCCAGGATGGCTGCCCCGAGCCATGGGCCGCGGCGGAGCTAGCGCGGAGCGTCCGACCCTCGCCCCCCCGAGTCCCGGAGCCGGCCCCGCGCGGGGCCACGCGTCCCGCGGGCGCTGGTTCCTAAGGACGACGACAGCACCAGCTTTTCCTCTCTTCCTACCCTTCCCTTCCCTGGCCCGCACTCCTCCCCCTGCTCGCTGTTGTGTGTCAGCACTTGGCTGGAGACTTCTTGAACTTGCAGGGAGAGTAACTTGTGCTCCCCACTTCGCGCCGGTGCCTTCGTTGGGGCGGCCAGCCTTGCCGCCTCTGAGCCCCGCCGTCCCTCCGCTCCTCTGCCGGGCCCAACCCGGGACGCCTGGCGTTCCCAGCGGGAGGAGAGGGACTACGCGACCGGCACCGGGAGGAGGAGGAGGAGGAGGACGCAAAGAAAGGGAACTTACTCCCGGTCTCTGCACCAGGTCCTTCGGACACAGCATTTTCCATGCGGAGGCTCTTTAAATGGACGTGTCCCCGCGTGCTTCTTAGACGGACTGCGGTCTCCTAAAGGTAGAGGACGAGGGTCCCCGACTGGGAGGGGTAAGGAGAGGTGGGAGACGCCCGGCAGCCGCAGCCGCAGCGACTGTGTGTCTCCCGGGACCGGGACAGGCGGGACGTAAACAGACCCCCTTCCAGGTCCACGTGTAGTCGAGCCCCTACTGGATCGTCCCCATATTGCCGCCCCGGGCGACCGTCAGCCTCGCCCTCCTGGTCCGCACTCTTCCGCCGCCCCTCCTTCTCCCTTCCCAATTTTCAGTATATGATTAGGGCTGTTAACACTTAGATGATTTTGTTTTCAAAGTTAAAGAAATCCCTTTGGAGAGAGTGGCTTTAGGATTTCACCCGTTAGTTGCCAACCTGTACTCCCTTCCTTGGCCCTCTCATCTCCCTTTCTTAGGTTTCTCTGGAGACCTTTCTACTCAGAATCACGTCCCATTTAGGAAAGTAGTGGAAGTTGAGGTTCTCCAGTGCGCAGGGGCAGTACTTCAGTGCCAGTTTGTAGTGTTTTTAACAGCTGGCACGTGCATTAATAGGTACTAGTCATTTACCTCATCCCAGGGACACACCTGCGTTTCTTGACTGCAGTGGGGGTTGAGGGGATGGAGTGACCCGTCCATCACCTCTGAGGTTAGGGGCGTGGGCCAGAAGTTGCAAGTAGCTTTAGAAGTTGTGGCCTTGACTTTCCCGGGATTATTAGGGGGTGTGTGTGTGTGTGTGTGTGTGTGTGTGTGTGTGTGTGTGTGTGTGTTGAGTGTGTTGCTTCTGGGGAGGTCACATGCACTTTTTGTGCGTGTTTAGAAGCAAGTGAGCGCTTGGCAGGATGTGTTTGGGTTTGTAAGAGATGCGGGGTGTCAGGCCAAGAGGTGGTTTTCCTAGATTCCTAGCACCGGCTGTCAGAGCTGGTGTCATAGGAAAAAAGGTGATGGTCATTGAATCTTACTGGGGGTCAAGGCAAAACCCCAAATCAAAAGTTCGATGGGTTGCGAATGGGATGGGAGGAGGAAAGCGGTCAGGAAATTGGGCAGTGCACTCTCCCAAACACTCGGGCTTCGGCCGTTCTTACGTAGCCCGGCGACTGTGGCATGCCAGGAGGGCACCCTGAAGGAGGAGGCGGGCGATCCAAAGGAGAACCCGGGCCGCGGGGGTGAGAGGGAGGGAGGACTGGGCGGGGAGCTTGGGTGACTCACGTCGGCCCTGTCCGCAGGTCGACCATGGTGGCCGGGACCCGCTGTCTTCTAGCGTTGCTGCTTCCCCAGGTCCTCCTGGGCGGCGCGGCCGGCCTCATTCCGGAGCTGGGCCGCAAGAAGTTCGCGGAGTCGTCGGGCCGCTCCTCCTCCCAGCCCTCGGACGACGTCCTGAGCGAATTCGAATTGCGGCTGCTCAGCATGTTCGGCCTGAAACAGCGACCCACCCCCAGCAGGGACGCCGTGGTGCCTCACTACATGCTGGACCTGTACCGCCGGCACTCGGGCCAGCCAGGCGCGCCCGCTCCGGATCACCGGCTGGAGAGGGCTGCCAGCCGTGCCAACACGGTGCGCAGCTTCCATCACGAAGGTGAGCCGCAGCTGGGAGCAGGAACGAGGGCGGGGACTGGGGCGGAGAAACAACCGGCAAAGCCCCCCATAGTGGGCAGCCTTGGGCGTCCCTGCAGGGGCAGCTGAGCCGGGGCACCGCAGAAGTTTCTACTTTTGCTTCTGTATGATTCTTTCTGAATCCGATTTCAAAGCACTGCCTGTGTGGCAGGGCAGCCAGGGATCCCCTCTGGTGCATCGGCACCCTTATCCTGGCTGGCAGCCAGAAGATAACTCCTCCCCTAGGAACTGGAGAGAAAAAGTGATGGGGAAGATGAGGGTCAAAGGCATGAGCCCAGTTAGCTAAACGTGCAAGAATTCCATGGGGGAGTGGGAGGATGGAGAGCCTTGGGACTTCTTTAAATCTGTTAGGAAGCCCTTGCTCCATAAATCTGTGTCTTCTCTTAAGTTGGAGTTTCAGGCTATACAGAACCAAGGGCAGAATTTTCAGTGGTAGTACCAAAAAAAAATCAAAACTCAGGTTCCCAAAGTCTTTCTAATTTACAGTTGATCTGGGCCTGGTTTGGAAGATTTTGAATCTCTACCTAATCCCCGTGGGAGATCAATTCCACAATCAATCTTATTGTTTCCACAATGACTTTCTTGTCTTGTGCTTAAATCTTAGATAGGTTCCCAGTAGAGACAAGGCAGCCTTCAGATAAAAGCTTTTGCAGCAGCTGCCTGCTGCCTTCATGTGCAATGAAATGTGGATTTTTTTTTTATGATACTGAATGTGGTTTCCTAAGGTAGGATATTCTTGCTTGTTTCATCAGAAAAGTATTTAGTGGATTTGAAATGTCTTAGAGCAGCTCCTGCACCTAAGTTCTTAGAGCAATTAGCCAAAAATATGCTTCACCTCAATTCTTTCTGTACAATTTTAAATGCCCCTTTGGCTTAATGCCTTCTAAATAGAGCATGGGTTCCTTTCAGTTCTAGAAAAGAAGGCAAAGTTGCATGTCAGAGAGCAGTCATTTGCAGACCATGAGAGAGCTGGGAGTTAAGTTCCTTTTTGCTCTGATGTAAACAAATTAGATTAGTTATGGCACAGCCTGAAGTTTTCTCCCGGTGTGAAGGATGACTTAGACTTACACATAGCAAAAGATACTTCTTCATCAAGGTAGCTACATTAGGAAGGGGACAGTGAATTGATGTTTCATTTTCAAATGTAACCAGAGATTTGAAAGGCACTGAAACCTCGATGTGCTCCCTGAGAATCCTCACTTCACCCAGCAGAACTTGTCTGTTGTCGCATGTAATGATGTGTTCCTGTGTGCACATTCTGCCATCATAACCCAGAGATGATTAGAGAGCTAGCTCATTGTTTCCAGCTAATGCTGATTAGAAATTATTTTTCTGGATAGAAAAGGAACCAGCACAGCTGTTTTCACCACCTCTTCTGGCGTCTTAGCATGGGAACCATTCTTAGCTTATAAAGCCAGGAATACTGTGTCTCTGTGTTAACTTACAAGGAAAAACATTTAAATCAATTAATACCTAAGACATGCAATTGAGTAATGCTTTCTTCAGTGAAATCTGCGTATTTCTCATTCTTCCTCTAGAAGTGGCTTAAACAAAATTTAAACCGGCTATGCAATATTTGAGTGTGTAATTTTAACTTAAATAGTGTGCTTGAGACTATAAACTAACTTATGTCTTTTGAAATGTGCTATATGTAAAACAGCGTAGGAATTACCAACTTGCTGAAAATCAAAGTGCAATTAATTTACATCTTAATGCAATGAGATGCTAGAAAAAAAGCTATGTAATTTTTGTCCAAAATTTCAACAGATCCATTTCATTTGTCGTTAGACTAGTATGTCAGCATTAGACTGGATATAGCACTTTTTAAAAAATATTCATTGATGTGTATCCTGGGGTTTGATTCTTGGAGGCTTTCTTGTATCACACATGCCACACTAACCATCTTTATATGAATTATTTGACAACAAACTGATTAGAAAGAAACCTTGATCACATCTACCTTGTAGATGAAATAGTTGCAGTTCAGAGAGGTTATGTAACTTTCCTAATGTCACAGAACTATGAACTTGAGTCTAGTGAGTGCCCACGTTTCTAGGACACAGGAGAGTAGTGAAAACCTCAAGCAATGGTTAAAGCCATTAGGGACATGTTGGTATTTAGTACAGTGATAACTGTTCTTAATTTTTATTAAAGAATTTAAACATTTATTTGGTAAAGAATCAAAAGGACCCTATGAAAGAATTACCTATTGGGTTTTTCTGTAAGTTATATCAGATGGTTTTATGGCATGATGAGACACAAATTATCACAATGGAATTCTTCCAACCAATGTGATCAATACAAAGTTACCAGTTATCATTTCTCATTGAGCATTGTCTAAGTCCTTTCTACAGTGGCTTTTACTTAGGAGAGTGAAAGCTTTGCTGAAATTTTTTCAAGATCAATTAAAAAGTACATATGGTCCTTTTAGAAGTGCTGCTGAGTGTAGAAAAATCAGATCTCCAACTAGAAAACATGGAAATTGGTTGACTTTGTTGGCCCTACAAAAAGTCTTCCTGCTTTTCTGACAGATGAGAGGATAGAAGGACCACATTCTTTCTCTCCAGACTTTGATGGACAGTTTTCCTTTTCACTTGAAATAACTGACTCATTTGCCCCTCTAACAGTTGTGCCTACTTTGAGCCTTCAAATTCCATTTTCATACAACACACATAAAGAAGTGAAGAAAAAGTCTGTTTTTGTTATTTTTTTTTATTTTTTGGCAGTACTGGGGTTTGAACTCAAGGTCTTGTACTTTCCAGGCAGGTATTCTACCTCTTGAGCCACTCTGCCAGTCCAGAAAAGTTGTTTTCGCAAGGGTCTTGTCAAGTTGTTTCTTTCACTGCTATGGGAGATTCAAGCTGATTTCTTACGAATCTTTCACTTTGATATCCAAACTAAAAAGTCACACTTGAACTCTTAAGACTTAAGGATTAGCTGAGGTATGGTGGCATATGCCTCTAGTTCTGGGAGGATCATGTGAGCCAGGAAATTAAAAGACTCACCTAAGCAACACAGTGAGATCCCACCCCAAATTAAATACTAATGTTATCAACATTTTTACAGAAGAAGAAAATGAGGTACAGGATATTTAAGACCTTTTTTGGGATGGGGTCTTGCTGTGTTGCATAGACTTGTTTTTGAGCTTGTGATCCTCCTGCCTCAACCTCCCCAGGTAGCTGGTAATATAGACACAACACAACATGCTTTTAGTTCCTTTGAAAACCAGGTGGGGGAAAGTTTTTAAATAGGGATTAATCCTGTTTATACAATGCTTCACTACAATGAAAATAGCCAGATTGTACGAAATGTCAAGAAACAATCATTGCCCTGTAAAGGATAGCACACGTCCTGAATTCCCAGTGCAGAGGTGGCACATAGATATCCCTTCAAACAGAACTTACCAATGTGCTCTCTGGTGACCCCAGGTGCTGCAGTGTAATGGCAAAGTCCCTATTAGAGAACAGTTATTCAATTTGGAAATACTTGTTAAGGTTGTGGCTTTTGTGTGCCATGCTAGTTCCTTAGCATTGATATTTTCTGTTCTACTTCTTTGTTGGTAGCTCCCCTATATTCCCTTGATTCCATCTCATTGAGGTACATTGTCTTTTTTTAGAGTTGCCCATTAGGTATTGCTCTGAGCTGTTAGAAAATATGAGAGGGCACTGGATCATTCCAAAGGCACTGGCACAAAGGGTGGACAGAGGTCAAATCAGGTTAGCAGTGACCACCAGGCTCTTCTTTCCCTTTAGTTGTTATTTCCTTTGTTGTCTTAAAAAATTATTCTTTGTAACTTTTTGTATTTTATGTTTTTCTCCTTGATAGCAATTATTTGTTCTTCTACAAAATCTTGTACATTCTATGCACTCCCTTCCATTTTGTTGTAGAGAAGAGGTTTCCAACCATACTGATTTTCTGGAATATCCTCAGGTTTTGTTGTTGTTTAGATGCAGGATTTTTTGGTCAAAGAGCATTGCAAAATCCTCAAAGCTTAATGATAAGGTACTTTTAAAATAAAACTCACCATACTTTAGGGCAAAAAGGCAGCCACAAAATAGCAATGGTTCCAAACAAAACTTACATATCCCAGTGGGCCTTGTCACTTTACTTTTCTTCTCATTTAGTTCTGTCTGCTGTCCCCAGCATACCTGGGTAGTATATCCCTTCCCTTTAGTTAGGACGAAACTCATTCTACAGTTATCACTGTATTAAATACCAGTGTGCCCCTAATGGATTTGATATTACTTGATGTTTTCACTGTTCTCCTATGTTAGGTAGTACTGTCTAGTGGCTAGAAACTTGAGCACTCATCTAGACTCATGTTCATAACTGCAGCACTAGGAAAGTTGCTTCACCTTTCTGAACTCCAACTATTTCACCCACAAAGTGGATGTGATCATGGTTTTTCTCTAATCAGTTTGTTGTGAGATAATCATAAAAAAGTGTTAGCGCCAGTCCTGGCACAAAAAGCACTTAGCACATCACCTAACATTATATCATGATGGCTTTTTTATGTCATATTCTTCCTTTCTTTAGGGAACGGGAGTACTGAGTGGACCTAGTCCCATTCCTTTTGGATTATTTTGAGGTAGATGAACAATTGACTAGTGTAGATGATTGAATTAGCACTTCACTTCTGGAGAAGAGGTCAAATGTCATGATGGCCTTATTTCCTTCATTTTACCACATTTATGCAGTCATAGCTCCAGTCACTTGGTGATGAACTTGGCTCACAAACTCAGGTGAAAAATAGGTCAGAATCCTGAAGTCTCTTAGCAAGTTCAGCTGATTCAACATGGAGTATTTACAAAACCTAGGCACTGTATAAGCTTCCAAAATGCATACTTTACCTGCACTGTATTTTTACAATCCCCGGGCTTTTTTCCTTAAATTTACTTTATTTCAAATAAGATTTAAATTTTACTACCCTCAAGAAAAGACTGAACCCTCTCCTTTGGAGGAGGCAAAGGTGGTACAATCCATAACCCTGGGCAATAACTTTCCTTGGTTTGGGGTTTTCTGTGAACTCCTCTGCCTTATATTGCAATAGAGACTTTTGTATGAAAGGCAGGATAGGGGTCTTTCAAGGATTACATTGATGCGGGTGCAAAGGAAAAGTTGAAGAAAGGTCTTCACACTCCCTGTTATTATTTAATAATGTCATTTTTCTCCTTTGCTTCAGACTGGTAAGCCATTCTGCTCTGATGAGCCTTCTTACGTCCAATAAGACTTTGAGACACAGGAAATTACTGTTTTCTGTTTCTGGCTGAATAGTGGCAATTTTATATGATTCAGTGGCCCCTAGAGGGCCATTATTCTATGTCACTTCATTTACCTATCTTTCATACTTTACTTGAAGATTTTACCTTCATTGTCATCCTCTGGCCCTGTTTGTGTGTGTATGTATCTGTGATTATCACTTCTTCCCTTTTTATTTGTTGATTGGGAGTCAGGGGTTTTTTTTTGCCCTTGTAGTTTTTCAGACACTTGTTGATACAGCTACTCATGGATAATTTGCCTTTCCTCCACCTATTTGAAAGAAGTGAATACCAAGGTGGACTGACTGGTATAAGAAGCCAAAAACTTAGGAACATTTCTGGATTTGTTGTCATTGGAGTCAGGTGGATGCTGATTTTTATCTTCTCTGCTGAAAACGTGGCTTCATTGGAAGCACCCCCCACCCCTATATTAGGGGGCTCCTGAATGGCAAGGAGAAGGGGTTTTTATTTTGTTCTATTTTTTTGGCAGTACTGGGGTTTGAACTCAGGGCCTTGTGCTTGCTAGGCAGACACTTGACCACTTGAGCCACTCCCTCAGCCCTTTTTTGTGTTGGGTGTTTTCAAGATAGGGTCTCTGGAACTGTTTGGCTGCGGCTGGCTTCAAACTATGATCCTCCTGATCCCCTGTCTTCTGAGTAGCTAGGATTACAGGAGTGAGCTACCAGCGCCGGACTGAGAGAGGGTTTTTAAAAGAAGCTAAATACAACCCTTGAGACTTACTTGCTTGGAGCCACTGAAAAGAACCTTGGTTTTATTGATGAGAAGATTATTTTAATGATTGTGGCTGACCTGAAGTATCATTAGCTGAAAGTAGAGTTCAGAGTATGGATGGATCTCCAAAGGGATCCTCAAGAGATTTCAGTTACTAGGTACAAGGGGCTGGTGGAGGATTCACTTCTTGGCCTTGTGGTTTCCATGTTCAAGTAGAAGAGCTATAGAAGACCCTTCTGTTTGAGTCCCTGATTGGCCCACCATAAACTCAATCCTTGGCCATCACTAATGGTCCTACTCATGTTTATATGATCTAACCAAAGGCACTTTAAAAATCTACTTCTCTGGCAATTTACATTGAATGTGAGACATATAAGTTAAAATCTTGATACCCAAAGTGTGGTCCAGAAACTTGCAGCATCCTCTTACCTAGGGGCTGGCTAAAGATGCCCCTCCTCAGATCTACTGAATCAGAATCTGCGATTAGAGATTGAAGAGGTCCTAGTTGTGTCACGTGAAAGCTAAAGTTTCAGAAGTGCCTAATCAAAACATTGTACCATAACAAGGTATAAACTGAACCTAGTATTTCAGCTTAGCTGGCAATGATGACTGCCACTTTGATCTGAAAGGTTTACACAGGTAGAATCTTGGAGTGACTGATCTGATTGTGATTCTCCCTTGCTAAGGCATCTACATTCATTGAACTACTTATAACTCTTGTCTTTAGGGAAAATACAACCATAAAATGATTTTTAAAAATACATTGTTCTATTAGGATGATAATACAAAACAATGGCAAAATAGATTTTGTTTGCATTTGAGATCCTAAATGAAGCAGGTACTTTTTTTGGACCATGAGACAATAGGCTATAGCAAAGAAAGGAGAAAAACTCAACTATTTCAAATTCTAGTGCTTTTTTACTACCAATTTAATAATAATAGTGTACATTTGATGATTTGTAAACTATAAGCCTTCAAGGTGTTATGTTAAATTTTACCATTTGCTTGGGAAACAGTATTTCTTAAAGTTCAGGATAATGCTTATGCATGGCTCATTTAAATGACTCTTTTGAAAAGCTGATAGATACAGAAAGATTATTCTGTAATAGGATGAAATTGTTTCTTATATTGTGAAACTCATAGTTGTATTTTTGTTAACTTTTATAAAACGTTTTATGTCTGTTCTGCAGCCTGTTTATTGGCATATGCTTTAAATATGGCTTATTTTTTAAAAGATACAAAGGAAATACAGAAGACAAAGTCATTTTTCTTCTTCCAAAGGCATCTGAAATAAGATTTTGATTCTTGAGGTCATAAAGAGGTGAGAGAACAAACAGTTGAGAAGCTATTCTCTTAACTGACCTTAATGATTACGGTGTCCAGTACCACCCATGCTAGGACACCCATACGTTTCCAAAGAAGTAGATCCCTGTAAATGCCTTTGTCTCTGGACTTTGGAGTAAAATGATAGGGTATGCTTTGCAAAATGTCATCGTTCATGTTGAGTTTCAAAGTCTTTAATTAGGAAGTTGAAATCTGTAGATCGAGATTTGTAAATCATCTAAATTGCAGAGTAATGTTTTAGAATACCGTGTAAGGGATTCACATTAAAGCCTTTTCTTTTAAAGAAATGCAATAGTTTCCTCAACTCCCACTCATTAGACTTCTACTAACTATAGTGCTGACTTTTTCTCCCCCTAAACTCTGTGAATTCCAAAGAAATGCTTCACTATTTACCCCCATTATTATAGCCACCTGAAAGAGTGTTCGTGGATTGTGTTAAAGTCATAACAATTAATTACAAAATTTTGTTTCATGGTATGCATGTTGAAATGACCATATAGAAAAGGGAAAATGGGAGACACCTGTTTACCTGTTTTTATTTTTAAAGACAGTGTTTGTTTATTTATTTATTTATTTATTTATTTATTTATTTATTTAGTGGTGCTGAAGATTGAATCCAGGGCCTCAAGCATACTTGGCATGCACTGTACCTCTGAATTAATCCACCAGCCCTGAAATTTTTATTTTCTGATTGCAAACTTTGACATGGGCTAACTCAAACTCTGTGATGGAGTTTAAGTTTTCCTAGTCAAATGATCATTACCTCTCTTACTGAATGATTTTTCCTCCCCCACCTTTATCATATTAGAATCTCTGGAGGAACTGCCAGAAAGGAGTGGGAAAACGACCCGGCGATTCTTCTTTAATTTAAGTTCTATTCCCACTGAGGAATTTATCATGTCTGCAGAACTTCAGGTTTTTCGAGAACAGATGCAGGAAGCTTTGGAAAACAATAGCAGTTTCCATCACCGAATTAATATTTATGAAATTATAAAACCTGCAACAGCCAACTCAAAATTTCCCATGACCAGACTTTTGGACACCAGGTTAGTGAATCAGAATGCCAGCCGGTGGGAAAGTTTTGACGTCACCCCCGCTGTGATGCGGTGGACAGCACAGGGACATACCAACCATGGGTTTGTGGTGGAAGTGACCCATTTAGAGGAGAAGCAAGGTGTCTCCAAGAGACACGTGAGGATTAGCAGGTCTTTGCACCAGGATGAGCACAGCTGGTCACAGATGAGACCATTGCTAGTAACTTTTGGCCATGACGGGAAAGGACATCCTCTCCACAGAAGAGAAAAGCGTCAAGCAAAACACAAACAGCGGAAACGCCTCAAGTCCAGCTGTAAGAGACACCCTTTGTACGTGGACTTCAGTGACGTGGGCTGGAATGACTGGATTGTGGCCCCTCCTGGGTATCATGCCTTTTACTGCCACGGGGAGTGCCCTTTTCCCCTGGCTGATCACCTGAACTCCACTAATCACGCTATTGTTCAGACATTGGTCAACTCCGTGAACTCCAAGATTCCTAAGGCCTGCTGTGTTCCAACAGAACTCAGTGCAATCTCCATGCTATACCTTGATGAGAACGAAAAGGTTGTATTAAAGAACTATCAGGACATGGTTGTGGAGGGTTGTGGGTGTCGTTAGCACAGCAAAATAACAAATAAATATATATTTTAGAAAAAAGGAAAAAGAAAAAAAAAATCCTCAAACCTCCCTTCCCCACCAAAACAAAACCAGTTGACACTTTAATTATTTCCCAATGAAGACTTTATTTATGGAATGGAATGGGAAAAAAAAAAAAAACAGCTATTTTGAGAATATATTTATGTCTACAAAAAGAAGTTGGGAAAACAAATATTTTAATTAGAAAATTATTCCTTAAAGATTTAAAATGTATTTAGTTGTACATTTTATATGGGTTCAACCCCAGCACATGAAGTATAATGGTCAGATTTATTTTGTATTTATTTACTATTATAACCACTTTTTAGAAAAAATAGCTAATTTGTATTTATATGTAATCAAAAGAAGTATCGGGTTTGTACATAATTCTCCAGAAGTCGTAGCTGTTTTCAGTTGTGTATTTAAGATGAGAAGTCTACATGGAAGGTTACTCTGGCAAAGTGCTTGGCACATTTGCTTGGTTTTGTTTTTATTTTTTTCTTTTTGCAGCGCTACTGTTAAGTTCACAAGTTTAAGTCCAGAAAAAAAAAAAGTGGATAATCCACTCTGCTGACTTTCAAGATTATTATATTATTCAATTCTCAGGAATGTTGCAGAGTGGTTGTCCAGTCCGTGAGAACTTTCGTCCTTACTGGGTGGAATATTTGGATAGGAATCAGATATTACTGATCTGATATAGAAACCCTTCTCCTACCCCTCAATTTGCAGAAAGAATAAAGCAGGACCAATAAAAATAATCAGAAAAATGATTAACATGCAGGAAAATGAATTAAAGTTGTTTTTTTTTCCCCCCTAAACTAGTGATCCCTTCCAAGGGGCTGATGTGGCCAAAGTATTCAATAAAACATACAATTTCTTTGTTAATATTGTGGTCATGTATATTTTAAATTGACATCTTGTGGCCCTCAAGAGTTGGAAATTGATTTGCATTTTGCTTTTACCTTGTCAGGGAGCTCCAAAGTACCCAATTTTCTAATTTTGCCCAACACACAGCAAAATTGTGCACGTCATGTTTTCTGCCCACACCCTGTTCTCTTACCGATCAGCTTGCTTTTCTTTCCAAGGCTATGTGTTTGAACACATTTCTCCAAATGTTAAATCTATTTCAGATAATAAATATCAAAGCTCTGGCATTTCATTCTATAAAGTCCAACCTGTGAGAGAAAATGGTACATTTGTACAGTGTTCACAATGATTACCTTGTGTGTGCATTTTTGTTTCAGAAGTTACTTATTTCCAAAGAGGTTGGGGAAAAGGTAAGGAATGGTTGGGAAATTGAAAGCAAATCATTTGATAAATCATATTTGCACCAAAAGAATAACTAGTGATTATTTGTCATATGAACCTCTTTGGGGGAAGAAAGATTTAAAGGAAAACCAAGGTCTATAAAGTAAGCAAAATCTAGGGAACCCATGGTAAAGTTTCAGAGATGATATCCCATACAACAGAGGCAACAGTGCCAAAAAATTAGAAAGGGAAAGTGTCTGAGATCAACTTCTGCAAGAACTTCTGCCAATTGGCTTGAAGCCCAAACAAAGTGAAGTCAAATTAGGCTGTTCAGAATGAACACTTAGCAGGAGCAGAGCTTCTATGCCCCAGGTTGGAATCAGACCCAAGGAAGGGTTCTGAGACTATGTCTGTAAGATAGGGGAACCTACAATTCCTCACTCTTATTGGCAGCATTTTAGGTCAGTTTCCAGGATTTTGTGTCCCTTCCAATCCTGCCAAGAGAAGTGAAGCCTAGTTCTAATCTTTCCTCACCCCTGCCTTCGAACTGGCTTTTAAAAGTGTGTTGTAATGGAACTTGCTAGTGTAATCAAACTCTTCCCAGAAATTAACTGTGGATGACTGTGAACATAGTTACCTTTCAGGGCCTATGCAGTTCCATAGATCTTATTTTTAAGTTAATGCTCTGGTTCTCTGTTAAAATGATTGAACTTTTTATGCCTAGTGCTGTTGACCGAGGGCGGGGTCCTCCTCTTCTCCCGCTAGCCATTTTTTAACCCTCTCTTGCTGAGGATCTGAGAAACAGACTACAGTTAACCTGTGCTTTTCCATCTCCAATCCTCTAGATGTGAGTGTGAGAGTAGAATAGAAGGATTTCATCCTTTGCAAGTTTAATCTACCCTTTGGATTTCTCTACTTTATTGGTTCTGATTCTCTTGGTTAAAACTCTCAATGGCATCTGCTCAAATGTATTCTTTATATACACACATAAATACCTTATATAAATAATATGTGTGTGTAGATAAGATGTGTAATATATATTACATATGTGTAGATGATGGCGTTTTCAGTTTTGGTTGAATTTCAGAGGTTTTATAAAAATTGAGGACTCTGACCTTGTTGGCAGCTCACTTGAGAAACAATAGTCTACATTCTTCTAGACATTACAGCTCACACTCTTTATTTGGAGGAACAAAGAGTCAAAACTAATACCGTGACCCTGAATTTCTTGAAGTGCAGTCAATTCTGTAGGATCTTTTGAATTACTTTAAAGTTGGCTTTAAAAAAAAAGTAAAAGTGTAGTAGTTTCTGAATTTTGAGAGATCACCTTTCAAAACTAATTAAATTGTGTCGTCTGGTTTTCTGCTCTTCTGGGCCTTGTGTGCCTCCTTGGCCTGGTTTTAACCTGAATGGCACGTCCCGGTTGTTCTGTTCATTTTTTGCCTCCCCAGTTTGGAAAGGAGGAGGTAAGTGATTTACAGTTCTATCTGTGCTTCCATCTTTTCATAATTTCTACTCCAAGTACTACTTTTAAGTTGTACCTCAAGAAATAAAGCGTGGAAAGATCTGTAAATCTGATCTATTTAGGAAACTGCATCGTCCTTAGGTAACCTAAGCAGGTTATGTTTTCCCTCCATTTTTTATTAGAGGGAGAAAAATCATCTGTATAATCAAAAGTGCATCAAAGCACCTTTAAAGATAGTATCTTTCTATTCTACTGGCATATTAATATTAAGAATTGATTCACTGAATGTTATATGCCACAGCCTCCTTATCAACTGTAAGGTAAAAAGAAACACAGCCTTGCAGTGAAGAATAATTAAAGACAAGTCACTGGGACATGCATTGGCAACCTGAGAAAATGAGACCATCCTGGCATGATTGTTTTTCTCTTTTACTTTTTGCATGGGATGGGTAGGGTGAGATTGAGGGGAAACACACAAGTCTACAAGTCTGCTCCACTCAGGTAAATTGTTTTTCCTCTTTCCTCTGCCCTGCTGACATAAATTACAGCCTTATGGCATTCTCCAGTGCAGAATTTTCTCAAACATTTCCCTTCCCTGCAAACTTCAAAGTGAACCTCTGCCTAACTGGGGCGGGGGAAAGGTGGGATGTTCTAAACAAAACTTCTTAGATATTAATGTGCATCCGAATTACCAGTAATGCCTTAAAGAGAATGAAACCTTTATGTGGATATAGACCCTCTAGAATCATGCTCTGATTGAGGATTTTTGTTTCAGTGGTCTCTGGTGGGACCTGGGCTCCTGCATTTCTCAATGCTCCCAGGTGAAATCCTGACTGACCAGAGGCCAAAGGACCACATTTTGAATAGCCGGCCTCTTGACTGTGTTCTCTTCTCAGTCATTACTACACGAGTTGAACCAAGTGTAGGCTCTTTTCTAAGAATAGTGCTTAAAGGAAAAGAAAAAACTCAAACCTGTATAGGATGGCACCTGAATACATTTCACCATATCTGAAATGATGCCCTACGTGTTTTTTTTCAAAGACATTCTTTTCCCCCACAAGATGACTAGCAATTTTGTGTTCTAGCCACCCTCAGACATGAAAACACTTGGTTGCTTATCTTGTAAAATCTGCTCCGCTTGCTTGCTTGGGCATGCATGTAGTCAGTTTAGTCAAATGCGTGTCAGTACATCTATGTGGATGGGGGAGCAGGTGCAAGCCCTTAAAAAACGTGCTTTAAAAAAAAGTTTAACACTTAAGTTAGTCCACTGAGTTGATCCTGTGTGATCTTGGTGCCAAGCGTCTGAGTCGAAAGTTTTTCCTTTGAAGGCAGCAAATGTCATACATTTAAAGCATTTGTTTATACTAAAAATGATGCTTGTTTTTTTTTAAGTTGTAAGACAGTACACTGTACAACTTCATTGAGCCTACAGGGTTGTAAAAGGCTTCCACGGCTGGTATTTGAGGTTTGAGCTAATGGATATTAGAATTTTCTAGGCCACAGTGGCTTTGAATAAGGTGCTTAAGTGAATGGGCTCAGGCTCAAAAAAGCAATAGGAATTGATTTTCCTCTGAAAAGAGGGTCAGCAAAGAAATAGCTTCCTGTCTTTGCTTGGTATTTCCCCCTCTTTTTAGCAAGATGTCCTACGAGGGTCACTTGTTGGCCTTTCTTTTAATTTTCAAGAACACAGGCAACTCAGATTTGAGTATATGTTGAAGAAATGCTGGAATGAATGAATTCCTAATCTCAAGAAGACTCTTTTGTGTGCAAACATACACACTTACCTGTGTGTATATACACACACACCCACATGCACACACACACCCGCATGCACACACACAATCTCTGAAGGAAAATTTGATTTGTTCCTGTCTGGAGTTCCTAATTTTTTTCCACTGGATTTATCGTTTTGTTTAGGTCTCTAAATTTTGAAGTGAGTGCCACTGAGGTGCTTAAGCAGCGCTACACCAGATACCAAGTTTAACACCACTTAAAAGCTTGTGTTTTCCCGTGGCCCGGGCCCCACTCCAGGGCAGTGCCAGGAGTCCATTATTGCTACAGTCCATTCGGATGAGGAGGTCTGAGCAAACCACCGATTTAAGCTTCCCTCGTAAGGAGCAGGATCTCATCTGGACTGCATTTACCCTGGAACCACTTGGCCACAACACTATGAGAGAATAATTATTGAACTATTTTACTGTACAACTATTTCCAAATTGTTGATTTTTTATTGATTTCAGGAGGCAAGCTAATTGCCCCATGGCAACTTGATGTTAACGTTTAATGAAGATCAGGAAACAGAGTTTATGAAAAGCTTTTGTATAGTAACTGCAAAGTTTCAAGAACTGTTTTATACTTCCTGACAGGGCTGGGCCTAGCTTAATGGTTTGTTTTTATTGCTTAAGAGTGTAAACCTTGCTTTAGCCCAGTGTGTGGAAACTATACCCTCATCCCACATTACACGTTTTCTCATTGCTTTTTCTTCCTCACTTCCTTTCCGGCCATCTACAATCAGGACTGTCCCTGCTTTAATTGTATGAAAGCACATGTTTCTATCTTTGTACACTGAGAATACACACACACACACACACACACACACACACACACACACTCATGAAGTAAAGTATCTTTATTGTTTCACTTTGTTTGGGGTGGAGTTACTTTTCGGCACTTGGTTGCTAGACGACCAAGCAGACAAAAGTTAAAGATTGAGAAGGCATTTTTAAAGATGCCAGATCTTGGTGGCTGAACTATTTTATCTCTTTTTTTATATGGAAGGCTTAGTTTTCTTACCAGGTTCCTCTTGCCTTTTGTTGATTATATGGCAGGTAGAAGATTTTTTTTTTTTTGAAGTCTGTCTCTTACTGGCATTATCTGTTTGAGAGCTTTCCTAAGTGTTGCTCGAATTTGCTGGAACACACTTCCCACCTGGAAGGACAAAAAGAGCTTCGTTTCCAAGGGTGTGTTTTAAATCACTAATAAAGTTGAGCTGCAGCTCCCAACTGCTCTGATTGTTGCAAGGCAGAGAGTAGAGAAAAGATTGCTTTTGGAGACACCATTCAGAAATACAAGGTTGAGGGTGTGGAGCATAGAGTCTCCAGGAAGCTACCTTTCTCGGAGATAGTGTTGGAATTTTTTTTAAGCCTTGAAAGCCTAATTTTAAATCAAAGTCATTTGCTCATTTCAATAAGATGCTTCGGGAGCATGTTATAAAAACAGGATCTTTATAGACCAGCCAAGTTGGACGTGTGTTCACAAGTTCATCCAGCATGTGTACAAAATTTGCAGCTGACATGCTCTCTTCACTGAGATCTTCCTTTCTTTTCTGGTTCACCCTCCAACGTGCCGCTGCTCTGGTTCTCCTCTTTGTGGGGTTCCCTAGGCTGGAACTCAGACAAATTCACGGAAAACTTTAACCACCTTCCTGATTCGTTTACAGGCAGGATTTCCTGGCATGAGGACCAAGGTGGGAGCT